AAGAAAAAGAAGAAGAAAGGTATCATACAGATTTTGGAAATGTTGTACGAGTTTTCTTGAACAGAACAATATGGAGATTGCATGATCCAGTATTTCTAAATCTTCTAGAGATGGAAACAATTTCCCTGGCCCTGCTGCAGCAACAGGGAATCAGACTCTTCCACACACCAGCCATTTGTGAGGTTTGTGAGAAATATGACCATATGTGGCACAACTACTGGCAACTAATAGTAACTGTGAAATAAATGCTTAGAATTGTAGGAACTGTAGTGATCACTGGGTTCAATAAACACAGACGTACATGAACGAGAAAAATGAAAAAGCAAGTTTTATTTGTGGAGCAGTAAGCAGGCTTCTGCAGTCCTTCAGTCTTCCAACTAACTGACTAGCAACCAAATTGAGGGACCATCTCCCAATTCCCAGTCTCTGTAGTCTAACTAAAGGAGTGTCTCCAGATTACAACCTCTATCACCACAGGAGTGTTTACTGGTCAGGATTAATAAACCAGCAATAAAATGGCTTATAAAGGCATTCTGCTAATGTGGCACCCTTCTATGATCACTGTTTTTCCAACTGAGTACCTTTTTTGCACAGAAGAGGCAAATCACTACACTGAATTGTTACAAGGTTGCATTGTATAACATTAGGTAGTTCTCTGTTTAATTTTGCCCTTGTGTAGAACATTTTTTTTGCTTTCATTGTAACCTCTGTACTCAAACAGCATTTCTACACATACTTTTTTGTCCCGTGACATGCCAGAGATACACTGCTTTGGTGAAGCTGAGGTGAACTGCACTGCACCATGTGCAGTTGTATAAAATGCACATCAGCATGCAGAAAACGGTGGCAGTGCGCTTCTACTAATGTACCTTCTATGCGTTTTAGTTCAAAAGTGCACGACTGCCATTTTCTCAGTGCTGATGCACATTTTGCCATTTATACAACTGGAAACCTGGCAGCGCTGGGCACTTTTAACAGCACCCACCACTGCGGCGCTTATATGTGTAAAAATTCCCTGCAAACCTTAAAAATAGAAGCTTTATAGATTAAATATTTTTTACTGTACAGCCAGTTTATCCACATAATCAAGTATATCTGCTAAGTGAGATTTCATCACTCTAACTGAAGATCACGAGTAAAAGAGAAACAGGGGATTAGATGCTCAAATTTAGAGGAGATGGTTAAACCAGACCACTTGACAATCCTCCATACTCAGTTACACTCCCTTTTATCCTGTCTACCACTACATAGTGGACTTTGTCATGGTTTTCACTTAATGAAACCCCTGTGAATTTGATACAGAACATTTTGTCAAAGGAATTGTTATTGTTCTATACAGGCCTGATCCAAAACCCATTCCAGTGAACTGCATGTCTCCCATTGCCCTGTATTTATTTCTTATTTCTGTTGTGGCATATTTCCTTATTCCCACTTTTCTTCCATACTTGAAAGTGTATTAAAAAAACAGCTTAGGAAGCCATTTAAAAGCCTCATTACATGGTAATTTTGGGTGGCTCCTGGAGCTTTTAACACTTGGTTTATGCACACATTAACACATGAAACTGGTTTTAAGTACTTGTTATGTGGCTCAAAGTTATGCCACTCCAGAGCAGGATTATCTCTGATCCAGGTTACCCAGATCATGTTATACAAAGGTGCAGCCACTCCAGGCTATGCCTTAATGTAAACACCCCACCTGCCCCACCTCCCCTGCTGGCCCAAATCGGGCCCACTTCCCCTCC